CGTGTCTGTGAAGTGTGACCAAAGTGTAAGTAGGAGTAGCAAGATATCCCTGTTATCTTAGCGTGTTTATGAGACAGAAAAAGAAACCAGCAATCCTACCATCATGCAAAACAGTTACAGGTTTTTGTTTCACAGTCATCTGGCAGGACGGTAGTACTTCCCTGGGTGGTTGCTGTCTACCAACCTACCAACCTACTACTTGTTAATCTCACTCCAAAACTTTTTCTTATTTTCAACAAAATTTGTTGATAACATCTCACCCACTCTCTCATTTGCTCTCTTTTTACATTGCTTCACCACTCTCTTAACTTCTCTCTTTTTCTCCATATACTCTTCCCTCCTTGCATCACTTCTACTTTGTAAAAACTTCTCATATGCTAACTTTTTCTCCCTTACTACTCTCTTTACATCATCATTCCACCAATCGCTCCTCTTCCCTCCTGCACCCACTTTCCTGTAACCACAAACTTCTGCTGAACACTCTAACACTACATTTTTAAACCTACCCCATACCTCTTCGACCCCATTGCCTATGCTCTCATTAGCCCATCTATCCTCCAATAGCTGTTTATATCTTACCCTAACTGCCTCCTCTTTTAGTTTATAAACCTTCACCTCTCTCTTCCCTGATGCTTCTATTCTCCTTGTATCCCATCTACCTTTTACTCTCAGTGTAGCTACAACTAGAAAGTGATCTGATATATCTGTGGCCCCTCTATAAACATGTACATCCTGAAGTCTACTCAACAGTCTTTTATCTACCAATACATAATCCAACAAACTACTGTCATTTCGCCCTACATCATATCGTGTATACTTATTTATCCTCTTTTTCTTAAAATATGTATTACCTATAACTAAACCCCTTTCTATACAAAGTTCAATCAAAGGGCTCCCATTATCATTTACACCTGGCACCCCAAACTTACCTACCACACCCTCTCTAAAAGTTTCTCCTACTTTAGCATTCAAGTCCCCTACCACAATTACTCTCTCACTTGGTTCAAAGGCTCCTATACATTCACTTAACATCTCCCAAAATCTCTCTCTCTCTCCTCTGCATTCCTCTCTTCTCCAGGTGCATACACGCTTATTATGACCCACTTCTCGCATCCAACCTTTACTTTAATCCACATAATTCTTGAATTTACACATTCATATTCTCTTTTCTCCTTCCATAACTGATCATTTAACATTACTGCTACCCCTTCCTTTGCTCTAACTCTCTCAGATACTCCAGATTTAATCCCATTTATTTCCCCCCACTGAAACTCTCCTACCCCCTTCAGCTTTGTTTCGCTTAGGGCCAGGACATCCAACTTCTTTTCATTCATAACATCAGCAATCATCTGTTTCTTGTCATCCGCACTACATCCACGCACATTTAAGCAACCCAGTTTTATAAAGTTTTTCTTCTTCTCTTTTTTAGTAATTGTATACAGGAGAAGGGGTTACTAGCCCATTGCTCCCGGCATTTTAGTCGCCTCATACGACACGCATGGCTTACGGAGGAAAGATTCTTTTCCACTTCCCCATGGACAATAGAAGAAATAAAAAAGAACAAGAGCTATTTAGAAAAAGGAGAAAAACCTAGATGTATGTATATATATATATGCATGTGCGTGTCTGTGAAGTGTGACCAAAGTGTAAGTAGGAGTAGCAAGATATCCCTGTTATCTTAGCGTGTTTCACAGTCAGTCATATTTGAAAAGGCAAGGTAGTTGCATGACGATTTAATTAAAAAAAAATGCCTGGAACTATTGGTGATGTTAGTGAATTTAAGGCCAGCAAAGGTTGGTTTTTTGAGAGATATAAGAATTGTAGGGGCATACACAGTGTGATAAGGCATGGTGAGGCTGCCAGTTGTGACCAAAAAACGGCTGAAAAATATGTGAAGGAATTCAAAGAGTACGTAGACACTGAAAAATTAAAACCCCAACAAGTGTTCAATTGTGACGAAACAGGCCTGTTTTGGAAGAAAATCCCAAACAGGACCTACATTATACAGGAGGAAAAAGCACTGCCAGGACACAAGCCTATGAAAGACAAGCTAACTCTAATGTTTTGTAGTAATGCTAGTGGGGATTGCAAAGTGAAGCCTCTACTCGTGTATCACTCAAACTCCAAGTGTTCAAGAAAACAGTGTCGTCAAGGCTAATTTGTGTGTGATGTGGAGGGCAAACAGTAAGGCATGGGTCACTAGGGACATTTTCCATGATTGGTTCTATCATGTTTTTGGCCCCACTGTGAAAAATTACCTCCTGGAAAATAAATTGGACCTCAAGTGCCTCCTGGTATTAGACAATGCTCCTGCTCATCCTCCAGACTTGCCAGAGTGAATTGCAGGGGAGTTGAGCTTCATCAAAGTGAAGTTTCTACCTCCTAATACCACTCCTCTCCTCCAGCCCATGGACCAGCAGGTCATTTCAAATTTCAAAAAACTGTACACCAAAGCAGTGTTTCAAAAGTGCTTTGAAGTGACCTCAGACATTGAACTGACCCTATGAGAGTTTTGGAAAGATCACTTTAGTATCCTTAGTTGCATAAACCTTATTGGTAAGGCTTGGGAGAGAGTGACTAACAGGACCTTGAACTCTGCTTGGAGAAAACTGTGGCCACAATGTGTACAAGTTAAGAGAGGTATTTTGAAGGGTTTGGGGCTAACCCTGAGGAGCCTATACCAGTTGTGGTACAATACATACATATTGTGTCATTTGGGAAGTCCATGGGTTGGAGGTTAGTGGGGAGGACGTGGAAGAGTTGGTGGAGGACGACGATGAAGAACTAACCCCTGATGAGCTGCAAGAGCATCTGTAACAGCAAGAGACCACAACTGAGAAAACTGCTTCAGAGGGGATAGAGAGATGGAGGAAGTTGCCTTCTTCAACGATTAAGGACACATGTATAATGTGGACAAAGGTGCAAGCCTTTATACAGGAACATCACCCTGACACAGCTATTGCAAGCTGTGCTGGTGACATTTACAATGACAATGTTGTGACCCATTTTAGGAAAATCTTAAAGGAAGGCCAGGTACAGAGCTCTATGGACAGACTTTTGGTACGACAGATGTCCTGTGACTGACAAGTTGCTCCCAGTGGCATTAAAAAAAAGAAGGGAAGTAACTCTGGAAAAGGACTTGGTACCTAAAGTACTTATAGAAGGGGATTCACCTTCCAAACACTAATACACCTCCATCATCTCCCCTCCTCCCATCTCATCACTCATCGCTACATCTTCAATAAATGGTAAGTGTCATTTATTCTTCATGTAGTCTTTATTCTGCATGTAGTATTTATTATTCATGTATCACTGTTTTTTGTGTAGGAAATTGTATATTTCACATGAAAAAAAATTTGTTTTAATACTTTTGGGCATCTGGAACGGATTAATTAGATTTTCATTATTTCTTATGGGGAAAATTAATTCGGCTAACGATAAAATCGGTTAAGGACAAGCTCTCTGGAATGGATTAAATTCGTTAGCCGAGGGTCCACTGTACACGTATAGTTATTGCTTAATTAATCTTAAATTACTCCTAAGTTTGCCTGAAATACTCCTGCCAATATAGAAGCTTTTGTAGAAACAGTGTATCATACTGAAATAAAACAATTCCCATTACTAATTTTACTAACTGTAATACAGGTCCATCATCACAAATCCAGCATCATTGTGACCTGTAGTGTACCGGATTACTGAGTTTGCCGAATTACAGAGTAGTTAGGTTATAATACACTTAATAAAGTTAACCAACTTGACTTACAGAAGAAAGTTCATTGAACATCGGCAAAAATCGAACATTTCCGCTACTCTGAGCTCAATTTCAAGGTAATTTTTGTCGTGACCAATCAAATCATATCTATTTCTGTAATATATCTTCCATTCTGTGAAATGGGACCAAAAAAAAAAAATGAGAATACAACCATAAAAACCATACAAAAATATACCGCTAAGGTGTGCCTAATGACTGAGAAGTGAACTCCATTATTTATCATCCGATTTTTTTCAGTTTTGGTGTATGTTAAGAAGCATCTTTTCATCATGCAATGCCCAAGTTTCAATAAGATAGTCCAACAAACCAGTGAGAAAAAAATATTTACCAAAAATCACATATGGCAAGCCCAAGCCAGGTACTGGAAATATGTCACTCTGTCTGACTTTTTGGGTTATCCTCAGTTCTCTATACATACACTGCTATGTACAATAATCTATGTAACTGTATTTGTGTATACCTGAATAAACCTACTTATTTTCTGAGACATGAGAAAATATGAGCTTCCTCTTTCGCTGTGGTACAACTGAACATGAACCAGACGGCTCATCGCCAGAGGTGGATAGTTGATAGTTGTCTGAGTTTTCAGCACTATTTCTGGTATCCTGGGCATTGCTTTCAGTCACAAATTCCTCAAAACCACGAAATTCATCTTCATTGACACTTCCGTGTTAGAACTATCACTTGGGATGGGAAGAGTCCCAATTCACCGGGGAGTGAGGTATTCCTTACCACTAGGCATGGTGAACAAGGCATACTGAATTGGCACTCCCACAATGCACTGCAACCTCCCTGAATTTTTTTATACTGTGCACCCTGAGCACACAGACTCATTCTCTCACATGTAGGCCTACTAGCTTTCTCCCAACAGATTCGAAGGCACTAGTATTTTGGCGTAGTATTACAGGACCGACAATGGCTTGCAAGCCAGTGTCTATGGCTCTGATAGTACTGATAATTGTACTAATGTGTACCTGTACCTATCTTACACACTGCTGGCATGCAGGAACATTAAAATCACTATTTGGACACTGAGAATCACCAAACATTGTGGTCTTTGGACATTTCTCATTACACAAGGTGCAACAATTGTCCAACTGTTGTGCTGTAGCTACAAAAACATTCAAACCATAAGTTAATTTTGCTCAAAATTAAGGGTACTGATGGACACCCTGTGATAAGGATTTCATGGATAATACTAAAGTGAATACAGCCTCTCCTCACTTACCGATGTACTCATTTACCGACAACTTGGAGTTATGATGGGTTCTCTGACAAGTTGTTATTATATACTGTATGAGAACTTGGGTCGGCAGCACAGCATCTCAGCATCCAGCATCTTAATCTCCTTACAGCCACTCAGTACACTAGCTTTCACAGTCTCCAAGACTACATATTTGTACAAATTTCCTGTTGTTTTATCCTCTTGGAAGAGAAAAAACAAGAGGAAAATGGAAGACATATAAAAGAAGTTCATTGTAAATGGGTTAGTGATGCATTTCAGCATCAATCTCCAAGACTACATATTTTATCTATAAATTTGTACATTATTGTGTATCCCACAGTAGAAGAGAGAGTTAAAAGTGCAGCAGCAATTGGAAGAGAAAAAACAAGAGGAAAATGGAAGAAGTGCAAAAGAAGTTCACAATAAAGGGGTTAGCTGGTGTGTTAGGTTAATTTTAAGCCTGCCCATAATGCTCTGCATACAAGGGGCTTTTGGCATGTTCACCCAACTACTATAATTCATTGTACAACTATGTATCATGTCCAAATAAAATATATGAATATGAATACATGTATATTAATCCATTCCAGAGAGTCTGCTGAATGGCAAAATTCATGAATGGCGAAATCACAAGAAATAATGGAAATCCAATTAATCCATTTCAGACACACAAAAATATTAACAAAAAAATATTTTTTTTTTTTAAAGATTAAATGTTTTAATTTTGGGTGGTGACACTTTTGAAGTGTCAGTAAAGGGTGATTCCTCGATTAGCGATGAAATCATTTACCGACGGGGTCTTAGGCCCCTATCTCCATCATTAAGTGAGGAGAGGCTGCAATTTCCAAGGGGAATTACAGGAAAATTTACTAGGCTTGCAAGATGCTCTAGGAGACACTGTCACTGCAACCGAAGAGGATCAGGATAATTTCATTAAACCAATATATGTCATGAATAGAAGGCTGATAAAGAGGACAGTTGCACAGGTTGAAGCAAGTTGGAATTGCCTGATTGACTAGGAAGTCATCTAGGTCAACTTCATCAACCTCCAGCCACTTGCAATATAGAAAATTTGGGTTATTTTCCTGATAATTATAATTATAACCTGTCATTAATTAGGTGAATTTGTTTAGTTAAGGAGGATGTGTGTAAAATGGGGAATGCAAATGCAAGCTTATGTTGAGCAAATCCACCTATAATGGAAATGTGCTAGCTTGATCACTAGCACACTCAGCTCACACACTGAGGTTTGGAGTTCGAATCTCCTCTGGTATGGCTGGAAAACATTAGGGACGTGTTTCCATAAGACACCTGCTGTCCGTGTTCACCATCAGTGTAAAATGGGTACCTGGATGTTAGTCGACTGGTGTGGGTCGCAGCCTGGGAAAAAACTGACCTAATTTCCCCGAAATGCTAAGCATAACAAGCGGTTTTCTAGGTAGTAGAATGTCACTGATGTAAGCTAGGCCTGTATACCTTGTACATGTACTTGTAGTAAATAAAGTTATTATACTATATTAGATGTGTAACAGTTAAGGTGCATATTTGGCCACTTCTAATTTAAATGTATTTAGCCACTTCTAATTTAAATATAATAAGAATTAGTATCCTAGGTAGTAGGTTGGTAGACAGCAACCGCCCAGGGAGGTACTACCGTCCTGCCAAGTGAATGTAAAACTGAAGCCTGTAACTGTTTTACACGATGGTAGGATTGCTGGTGTCTTTTTTTTTCTGTCTCATACACATGCAAGATTTCAGGTATGTCTTGCTACTTCTACTTACACTTAGGTCACACTACACATACATGTACAAGCATATATATACACACCCCTTTGGGTTTTCTTCTATTTTCTTTCTAGTTCTTGTTCTTGTTTATTTCCTCTTACCTCCATGGGGAAGTGGAACAGAATTCTTCCTCCGTAAGCCATGCGTGTTGTAAGAGGCGACTAAAATGCCGGGAGCAAGGGGCTAGTAACCTCTTCTCCTGTATATATTACTAAATGCAAAAGGAGAAACTTTCGTTTTTCCTTTTGGGCCACCCCGCCTCGGTGGGATACAGCCGGTGTGTTGAAAGAAAGAAAGAATTAGTATACAGTAACACTAGAAATATTTAGCAAGTATGTGCAGATGGTCACATGGGCACACCAAGGAAGAAGCAGAGATGCCACAGAGAAGAAATCATGGCACTTTGAGGTGTTACAAGATTGAAGATTTAACTTGAAAATAGTGTAAAGAAAGGACATCTAACTTTGCAAGCAAACAGACCTCATCTATGACTATGATTATATGCTATGCAGGGTAATATAAGCAAGGAGTTAAAACAAAAGATGAGGTAGAGAAGGAACATGTGGCCAATGGTATACAAAATTACAAAGTCTCATCAACTTGGCAAAAGGAATCGCTTCCAACGTGCATTTATCATTGATGTTCATCAAGTAAGTTTATTACAATTTGATTGGCCAAATAAATACTTTGCATCACAAAACAGGTGAGGAAAGTGTCATGCTGTGTTGTGACTCCCACGCTGAACTTCTGTAAATTTATCATAAATGGATTTTGGCTATGTCAGTTCTGAATTTTGTTAGAAGAATTTATTATTATTATCACACTGGCCGATTCCCACCAAGGCAGGGTGGCCCGAAAAAGAAAAACTTTCACCATCATTCACCCCATCACTGTCTTGCCAGAAGGGTGCTTTACACTACAGTTTTTAAACTGCAACATTAACACCCCTCCTTCAGAGTGCAGGCACTGTACTTCCCATCTCCAGGACTCAAGTCCGGCCTGCGGTTTCCAAACCCATTCATAAATGTTACTTTGCTCCACACTCCAACAGCGTCAAGTATTATAAAAACCATTTGTCTCCATTCACTCCTATCAAACCACGTTCACGCATGCCTGCTGGGAAGTACACGCCCCTCGCACACAAAAACCTACTTTACCCCCTCTCTCAACCTTTCCTAGGCCGAACCTACCCGCCTTCACTTCCACTACAGACTGATACACTCTTGAAGTCATTCTGTTTTCGTACCATTCTCTCTACAGTCCGACAAACCTCAAACAACCCTTCCCCAGCCCCTCTGGACAACAGTTTGGTATCCCGCACCTCTCCTAACTTCAATACGGAATTCTCTGCATTATATTACACCACACATGCCCTCAGACATGACATTCTTCCACTGCCTCCAGCCTTCTCCTCGCGCTGCACATTCATTCACCCATGCCTCACACCCATATAGAGCGTTGGTAAAAACTATACTCTATACATTCCCCTCTTTGCCTCAAGGACAAAGTTCTTGTCTCCACAGAAACTCCTAAGTGCACCCACTCACTCTTTTCCCCTCATCAATTCTATGATTCACCTCATCTTCATAGACCCATCCGCTGACTCGGTCCATCCACTCCCAAATATCTATTACATTCACCTCTCCATACTCTCTCCCTCCAATTGATATTCAATCTTCATCACTAATCATTTGTTATCCTCATAACATTACTCTTTCCTTATTCAATTATAATTTTCTTCTTTTGCACACCCTACCAAATTCATCCAAACCCAATCTCCTGCAACTTCTCTTCAGCATCTCCAAGAGCACAGTGTTCATCAGCAAAGAGCAGCTTGTGACAACTACCACTTTGTGTGTGATTCTTTTTTCTTATAAACTCCACACCTCTTGCCAAGACCCTGCATTTTTACTTCTATCACTACCCCATCTATATATATATTAAAACAACCACGGTGAACATCACACATCTTTGTCTAAGGCCTACTTTTATGGGAAAAATTTCCTCTTTCTACTTACTCTACTTGAGCCTCACTATCATCGTAAAAACTCTTCACCTGCTTTCAGTAACCTACCTCTTCCATCTTTTACACTTTGCAAACATCTGGCACATTTGCCCCCCTATCCACCCTGTTCATATGCCTTTTCCAAATCCATAAATGCCACAAAGGCCTCTTTAGCCTTTCCTAAATACTGTTCACTTATATGTTTCACTGTTAAAAACCTGGTCACACACCCCCTACCTTTCTAAGCCTCCTTGTTCATCTGCTATCTATCTCCGTCTTACTCTTACTTTTTCATAATAAACTCTACCATACACTTTACCAGGATACTCAGACAGGACTTTTCCCCTATAATATTTTGGCACTTTCTTTTATCACCCTTCTGCCTTTAATACAAAGGAACTATTGCAATGCTCTCTGCCTATCCCTAGGTAACTTTAACACTCTTCCATACATTTATAAATAATTGCACCAACACTCCAAAAACTATATCCCACCTGCTCTTTTAACATTTCTATCTTTATCCCATCAATCCGGCTGCCTACCCCCTTTCATTTTAACCTACTGCTTCACGAATTCCCCCACACTCACAACTGGCTCTTCCTCACTCCTACAAGATGTTATTCCTCCTTGTCCTATACTCGAAAATCCCAGCTTCCCCTATACTTCATCAAAGTTACACAATTCCTCAAATATTCCCTCCATCTTCAATACCTCTAACTCTCCATTTAATAAACTCTCCTCTCCCTATTTTTAAATGACAACATCATTGGTTCTCTAGGCTTTCTTAACTTGTTAATCTCACTCCAAAACTTTTTCTTATTTCAACAAATTTGTTGATAAACATCTCACCCACTCTCTCATTTGCTCATCTTTTTACTTTGCTTCACCACTCTTAACCTCTCTCTTTTTCTCATATACTCTTCCCCCTCCTTGCATCACTTCTTCTTTGTTAAAAACATATATCTAACTTTTTCTCCCTTACTACTCTCTTTACATCAATTCCACCCATTCGCTCCGCTTCCCTCCCGCACCCACTTTCTGTTAACCCACCACTTCTGCTGAAACACTCTAACACTAAATTTTAAAACCTACCCCATACCTCTTCGACCCCCTTGCCTATCTGCTCTCATTAGCCCTTCTATCCTCCAATAGCCTGTTTTTATATTACCCCTAATGCCTCCTCTTTTAGTTTATATACCTTCACCTCTCTCTTCCTGATATTCTATTCTCCTTGTATCCATCTACCTTTTACTATTCAGTGTACGCTACAAACTAGAAAGTATCTGATATAATCTGTGGCCCCTCTATAAAAATGTACATCCTGAAGTCTCTCAACAGTCTTTTATCTACCAATACATTATCCAACAAAACTACTGTTCATTTCGCCCTACATCATATCTTGTATACTAATTTATTCTTTTTTCTTAAATTATGTATTACCTATAACTTAAACACCTTTCTAATACAAAGTTCAATCAAAGGGCTCCCATTATCATTTTCACCTGGCACCCCAAACTTTACCTACCCACACTCCTCTCTACAAGTTTCTCTACTTTAGCATTCAGGCCCCTACCACAATTACTCTCTCACTTGGTTCAAAGGCTCCTATACATTCACTTAACATCTCCCAAAATCTCTCTCTCCTCTGCATTCCTCTCTTCTCCAGGTGCATACACGCTTATTATGACCCACTTCTCGCATCCAACCTTTACTTTAATCCACATAATTCTTGAATTTACACATTCATATTCTCTTTTCTCCTTCCATAACTGATCATTCAACATTACTGCTACCCCTTCCTTTGTTAGAAGAACTGCATATAAAAAAACATACAGTCCACACTCTAGCACTGATAATAATAAATAATGAAATTACTGAAAGTGAGGTTATGTATATCAATGACTAGTTTTATACACAGGAGTGCCCCACATATACAGCACCCTCTTTTTGGTGTTTCCACACTTTTGCTGGCTTTCAACTGAGCCAGTGCTCATAATGCTCGGTGCTTTTATTGTTCTCCCATTTTCAAACAAAACTGCGTAAGAGAAGGGCGGCCAGCACCATATTTTAAGGTAAGTACTGTACATACTGTGTATACATTTCACTTTGTTTTTTATGCCTAGATGTATTGGGCACTTAATATACAATAGTGTAAACACATTATCAGGCATTTAGATGAATTCGATAATGAAAAAATCGCTCCTTTTTCACCTCATGGGAATTTTCCAGCATAAAAATAAATTATATTGTCAATGTAGAGAAGACATAATACCCATTTTATCACAGCCCTAAGATCTCACTCTGGGTGTGAGTGGCTGCATTAACTGTAGGTGCAATAAGACAGGATGTGGATGCTCGTGGCTTGACTTATAGTGTCCTTAACTCACACTGGCATCGGTAGCAACACTGGCATGTTACCTTACACCTGCTGTCCATGCTCACCTAGCAGTAAGTAGGTACTTGGGACTTAGTCGCTGTCGTGGGTTGCATCCTGGAAGACAAGATTAACTTAGTATGACAAAATATTGTGTATAACCAGGGTCTTTCTATAAAGCATATCAGTAATGTCAACCAGGTCTGTATCAAGAGTAATAAGAGTATCAAGTGTATGAAGGTATCAAGAGTATACCATAAGTGCATGATAGTATCAAGAGTACAAAAGTGTATGAAGAGTGTCAAGAGTACAAAGTGTATGAAGAGTATCAAGAGTACAAAGTGTATCAAGAGTACAAAGTGTATGAAGAGTGTCAAGATTACAAAGTGTATGAAGAGTATCAAGAGTACAAAGTGTGTCAAGAGTATCAAGAGTACAAAGTGTATCAAGAGTACAAAGTGTATCAAGAGTACAAAGTGTAGCAAGAGTACAAAGTGTATCAAGAGTACAAAATGTATCAAGAGTGTATCAATACTTTATTTATTTATTAATTTGAGCATGATACATAGAAGTACAAAGAAATACAGTGGTTAAGTGTTCTCCAAAAGCCTCCTCTGTATGCTGACTTATGGGCAGGCTATTTTTAAAATTAACTTATGATTAACTATGAACTGATATATTCAGTATTAAACATTGCTGTAAACAAATGAGTATTACAAAGACAGGTCATATGGTCATTTACTGTGTTGCTGAGCATTCATTAGAATGGAGTATTCTGTTAGGTAATGTAATTAAAAATAAAAGTTTGATTGGGGTCACAGGTTAAACATTTATGAGATACAATTATTCAGTATTTATTTAGTTGTGGGTGAGGTAAGTGATTTTTAAGAAGAGACTTTAATTTATAAAACAGATAGTGTTTCTTTTATATTCACAGGTAATGATTTCCAGATTTTTTGGCCTCTTTTGCTGTGCAATTGAGTTTGTACATTGTGTGAGATGGACCGAGGAACATCAAAAGAGTGACTGTGCCTTGTGTTATGGTCATATGTTATGTGTGGTTAGTAAGGAGACTTTTGAGGGGAGGGTTTTTATCCGATGTTAAGTGTTCTATGATGTAGTAGGTGCAATATATGTATGGATGTTTTGTTTGGTGAGTAGGTTTAGTGTTTTGAATATTGGTGGAGTGTGCATGCCTGTAGTGTGAATTGTTATCATTTTTGACTGCAGCCTTTTTGTTGGGTAATTATGGTCTGAGATGGTTTATTGTTGTGTGCCCTCGTGGAAAATAATGTTTTATTTTACGGAAAAAATCGGTGATTTATAGGAAATAGGATGGCCTATATTGTATTTAATTAAAAATTATCAAAAAATGGGAAATTGAGCCTGGGTCTGCAGAAGAAGGATGTCGCCATTTTGTTTGAATTGAAAATAACAGACGGTTGTGTGTAATGGGAAGAATTTTTCGTGCTCTACGAGGTTAAATTTGGGCTGACACTCTCAAATAGGAGGCGTAATTGTTGGATGTATGATTCCTGCATGACTTGAGATATCAGCGACCTGGACATGACCAGCTCCAGGAACCTCAGATAAATCTGTTATGTATACTCTGGCCAGTTATTTTCATGTTATAGACGAGGTTTTTCTGAGTATGATACACCTGATTTCCAGTCAAATTGGTGAGTGTTTTGATTAAGATTATTCTCCTCTGTTATATAAATGTGTATTATTTATAATCATTTTTTAATTTATATACAGTCCACAAATTTTTATTATTTACCAACATTCCTGGTGATGTATTATTTCATTCATGATTAATAGGTCCAAGGGAGCATTGTGGATTATAACAGTGGTTAGGTATCGAAGGGGGTCATTTTTGCGGACCTAGGTGTACCCAATTCCTACTTGTCTAACTGATATAATAATAATTATCTGTTCGTTTACTGTTATGTACATAAGGATACATTCAGATAAATGCCAATTTTCACACCCATGCACAATTCATAGGTGAGATAGGGGTCGTAAATCGGGAGTGATATAGGGCCAGGAAGGGGGCTGACTGTGGAAACATAGTAACGTATCTTTGATTAGTATGGCCTCGGTCTTGGAATTTTTCTTGGAAATCTGTGTACAACGTGGTATCAAGTGTATCAAGAGTACAAAGTGTATCAAGAGTACAAAGAGTATCAAGTGTATCAGAGTATCAAGTGTTTCATGAGTACAAAGAGTATCAAGTGTAAAGAGTACAAAGAGTATCAAGTGTATCAAGAGTACAAGTGTATCAAGAGTATAAATGTATCAAGAGTATCAAGTGTATCAAGAGTATCAGAGTACAAAGTGTATCAAGAGTATCAAGTGTATCAAGTGTACCAAAGTGTATCAAGTGTATCAAGAGTACAAAGTGTTTCAAGTGTATCAAGAGTATCAAGTGTATCAAGAGTACAAAGTGTATCAAGAGGTACTAAGTGTATCACAGAGTATCCAAGTGCATCAAGAGTACAAAGTGTATCAACGAGTACAAAGTGTATTCAAGAGTACAAAGTGTTTATCAAGAGTATCAAGTTCATCAAGAGTACACAAGTGTATCAAGAGTATAAAAGTGTATCAAGTGTTTAAAGTGTTTCAAGAGTATCAAGAGTACAAAGTGTATCAAGGTATCTAAGGTGTATCAAGAGTACAAAGTGTATCAAGTGTATCAAGAGTACCAAAGTGTATCAACGAGTTATCAAGTGTTATCAAGAGTACAAAGTGTATCAAGAGTAACCAGTGTATCAAGAGTAACATAAGTGTATCAAGAGTATCAAGTTTATAAAGGCAGTACAAAGTGTATCAAGAGTACAAAGTGTATAAGTTTATCAAGAGCATCAGAATACAAAGGTATCAAGAGTATCAAGAGTATCAAGTGTATCAAGAGTACAAAGTGTATCAGAGTACAGGTGTATCAAGATTACAAAAGTGTATCAAGAGCTTCAAGTGTATCAAGAGTACAATGTGTATCAAGAGTACAAAGTGTATTCAAGGTACAGTGTATCAAGAGTACAAGTGTATCAAGAGTTATCAAGTGTATCAAGAGTACAAAGTTTTGTATCAAGAGTATCAAGAGAATTCATGTATCAAGAGTACAAAGTGTATCAAGAGTACAAAGTGTTATAAGAGTACTAAGTGTTGAAATCAAGAGCATCATGTGTATCAAGAGTACAAGTGTATCAAGAGTATCAAGCATTGCAGGACATATATAAGTGTAGAGGTTGTGACCTTAGTAGCCATAAATGGTGTAGGACCTCCTGATGGTCGTCAGTTAATACCAGTAAATTACCAATACGCTCGTCAATAACATCTACTAAATTCTGAACAATGCAAAGTAATATTCCCCAATAAATACTAAAAGAGTAATTATAATGTAGTGAAGTAGTGTCGGCCATGTTGGGAGGCCAGCAACAGCCCTCTCCATGAACTAGCATTGTAACACACATAAAATATTATTTACATTGTTTGATATGATATGAGGTGTAATAATGATTTGTATACAGGCTATAATCTTAGTACAGGTTTCCTTGTGTTGACATGAGCAACCAAAACAAGAGAGAAAACTTGCAAAAGAAGGAACACAATATATTTTCGGTTATTTAGGCTCCGTAACTGCTTAATACTTATATAATATTATGATAGAGAGAGAAGAGAGAGTGTGGTGGTTACCTGCAACACCAACACACAATAATCAATGATCCTCCAGATGAGGATCAACTACAAGATAAACAGCTGAACTTGTGAAAGTAATTATTGTTTGTTGTTGTGTTAGAGAGCCATCACGCAAAGCTTGCTACCTCTTGTTGTACCTTCTGGCATTTGTACCACCATGGCCTCTTGTTAAGTAGTAAGTAAGTAAGTAAGTAAGTTTATTCAGGTATACACAAATACAGTTACATAGAATTATCATACATAGCAGCTTATGTGTAAGAACCTAGGATAACCCAAAAAGTCAGACAGCGGTGGACTTATTTCCATTGGGGTCCTTTTACCTTATTATTATAGTATAAAGGTGATAATATTTTTTATTATTCTACAGTGAAGATATCATCTTATTATCATACTAAAAACTGACTATCTGCTACACCAAGGTCATTAGACTTTCTACAATACGAGGGTCATTCAAGGAATAGGTAAAATTGACACGTATGTTAGCTAAAAAATAGAAAATCATTCCCTCCCTTTCTGTAAGTACATTCATCAGAAACCTTTTGGCACTTCTTCTTGAATGGTTCACGCTATTATGACTGGCTTTGACATGTGGCGGGGTAGTCTGTTCCATTCCTTTATTCGCTGTACAATAAAAGGTGTTTGAAGCATGGGCCACTGACTGTGGGTACTACAAAGTTGTGCTCTCTCCCCTAGTACTATGATTGCTTTGGTTCCCAACCTTGACAAAATGACAGCAGATATTCTGGACATTGTTTGTGGAGGCAATTTTAATAAACTGATTGAGCCTCAGTTGTTTTACTCTGTTTATCAACAATCAGCATATCACAACTGCTGTAATTCATCCTGGGCCTAATGTTCTCTTGGATCCCCAGCCCCAGATGAGTCTTACATTTGTTCTGGGTGATTTGCAGTCTCCATCTTTCAGTTTTTTTGTCAAGGCAGAGTTAACCAAGAAGAGCAAGCGTAATACATATGGCATGGTATAAGGGTAGTCATAGGGTTCCTGCGAGCCATCAGTAGGTAGACACTGCGATTGTCTATACAGGAACCTCAGTTTGAGCAATTCGCATTCTTTACTACATGTTCCCTATCCCATTCTCCTGACATGCTGGGTTCAAAGGGAGGAGGGATTCCGAAATATTTTTTACTGATGAAACATAGTGATGGGCTCCCCATTACTAATGAACAATTAAAAAATAAAAAAAAAAAAATTATTTTTACCCTTCTCAGTTTTATGTTTCGTGCCTAAGAGAAATGGCTTCAGTTTTCCCTAGGTGTAATGATAGTTTTGTGTCTACTAACATTTGCTGCAGGACTCCATTTCCAGTGTTAAACATTAGCAATATCTTGTGGGTCTTTACCTGACCACTAAACAGAGCACTGTCATCTGCATACAGTAGGAGTTTGCACTTGCACTG